AGAATATCCTTAATGTTTCAAATAACGACATATTGCAGATAAAAAGGAAGTTCGTTGTCTGACTTTCTCTTGCAGTGTACTCTCTCTCTCTCTCTCTCTCTCAATAATTTCCGTTAAGCCCACGGTGACATTGCCCTTACGATTGATTGAAAATTTGCACAACGTTGTTAAATATTTCATGTGTAAAGATGACTGTATAAAGGACGTATTTGGTGATATCTAATGTTGTCTTTGTCATCAAGAGCACTGTTAGTACTGATTTTTCTCAGTCACCAGGGTAAATATAGTTATGTAAATATTTGTTAAATATCAATAAAACATAAGCAAATATGTTTTGAACGCAAGCCTGTGTTTTTCCGTGTTAATGATATTGTGGGGAGTGTTAGAGACTGCCCAGCTGTTTTTTTTTTAAGCAGGTACATTTATCATGAAACAAACAAGTGCTTTTTCACGCCGCAAATTGGATTTAAATCATTATTTTTATCCTTAAGTAAAGGCATGTGTCAGAGGGAAACTTGATGCGTAACTCTTCATTAAGAGAAACTGTTAGAATATACAGAAAACAGAATTCGCATAAGATATGCCTACATTTACATACGTATCTGGATCGCCAGGCTGCGCCTGTGCTCCTTGGTAAAATGCGTGACGTCGCACCTGACACATTCTATATAACATGTTCCAAGAAAGCTCTTGAGCTGGAAGAGGATGGGGGCAGTGAACACTTTTGGGAACGTCGAATGCACGTTTTTTTACACTGATCTTGACCTTTAACCGTACAGTATATTTATCGCTTCTAAGAGTCTGGAAAATGTTCCCTTCTAACGAAATCTGTTACATTATGAATTTTACGCATTTTCTGTATTGATACATTCTACATATAAACGTTATCGATCTTTAAAACAAAAACGCCTCTTTTATGCCTAACACTCCCCAGTTATTCATTATCCGACGGGAACTCGTGCCATGAGGACTACCAAAAACAGCTCCACATAATTTTCTCTCAAAACCAAAGGAAATTGTCCCAAAAATGAAATAATGTAAAATTTTAGAAAACCAAAGGTGTGCCAATGCTTTTAAACAACAGTGTACTCGCTCATGTATTTCATTATATGGTAAATAAATATATACCTGCATTATGGACGGCCTGAAGAGAAGCAATCTCAAGTTGTAGACCTGATTCCACCGATGATAAAGGTAAAGTAGTTCATAAAATAGTAAATACAATTAACATGGTGTCCTGTATTTCATTTAATCATCACAATTACTGCAGCATGCTGTGCACATCAACTGTCGTCATCATATAAGATAGTTTGGAGAGATTGAGGAAAAATGATTGACCTGAAGAAGATATGCTATGTATTCAGCTAGGAGGGTAAAATGATTGAAAATGCTGTAGAAGAAAAGAGGAGGCGATGAAACCGTACTCTATACTAATATAAAGGGAAAATGGGTGATGACATTTATCGGACCTGCAGCCAGCAATTTCAAAGGGGGGGCGGGGGGGGGGGGG